AGAGAGAGAGAGAGAGAGAGAGAGGGAGAGAGGAACTATCATCATGATATATAAACAAGCCTTTTGAATGATGGAGTTGATAATTGAATGACATTTGAAATCTTGTCTTTTCAATGCAGATTCCAGAACAGTTTGGTCCAATACGGACAGTGGCCGAAGGGAAAGGTGACGTGATCTTGATAGGCACAACCAGAAACTTTGTTCTACAAGGCACTCTGTCAGGGGACTTTGCACCCATTACTCAGGTATGTTCCCAGCAGGCCCACCAAACATACGTAAAATGAGACGACAGTAAAGCATTACAAAGAGGAGCTTATTCCTGTGTTTTGTGCTCACATAGCCCTTCCGGGGCTTCGGGGTTTCAGTTTTGCCATCACTGAGGTTGGGGAAGAGGAGAAACAGGTGAGATTCACTGTGAAGTGTGCAGAAAGCCTGGCCCACCGTCATTCAGGCTTCTGAGTGTTGACTGTAGCGTTTCAGAGTGCTTCCATGTGTCTTGGTTCTTTGTAGGGTCACACTGATGAGCTCTGGGGACTGGCCATCCATGCCTCGAAACCTCAGTTCTTGACCTGTGGGCATGACAGACATGCCACCCTCTGGGACGCTGTTGGCCACCGGCCCGTCTGGGACAAAATAATAGAGGTAGACACATGCGTGTTACATTCCATTTCTCTTATAAAAGTTCCTCTGGAACATGTTTATTTTTCTGCATGAGAGTGATCATGATATAAAACTGTCCCAAAGCAACTGCCCCTTGATTGACCTCCTTCGGATCGCACTGCCTTCCACATCGCCTGGAGGGTGGTCTCATCCGTGTAATTCTGAAGTTTGCTGTTGAATTTTTTGACAGCAAGTTGGCCCTTCCGAGTTGGCTGTTGGGGTCCTGCATGCGGAGTCTCTCATTGGCCTGAAAGCCAAGAAGCCCGTTATGGGCCCGCTTTCTCGTACCTTTGGAACGGGAATTTACAAGCTGTTCTAAAAGCGTACTGTTTATCTCTGCAGCTTGAGTTTGACGATCATGGTAAAGATTTAGTTTTAGAGCCAGCATCTCTGGGATCTTTACAAAAGGCAGAGTGCCAAACCATCCTTTCCTACGTGTAACAGCAATGACTGCACTTACTGAGCACTGTTTGTACCCTTAATCCTGGCAGCAGCCCGGAAGGCTGAAGGTTTTTTTCCCCCCAGTGGCACTGACAGGAAATTGAGGCTTAGAAGGTCACACAGCTTGCCAAGGTCACTAAGGAAGTGACAGAGCCAGCATTTACACCCAGCTCCGTCTGATTCCCAAACCCAGGTCTTCCACCGCATCAGAGTGTAGTGACTCAAAAGCACGCTCTGTACCCTTAATGACATGTAGAGTCCCCTGTAGGGGAGCCCCTCTGTAGACCCCACACACCCTCCTGCCAGCCCCGCACAGTTCCGGCTTTTCTCAGCATGCTGGACCTGAGTTTCTCCTGCGTTTTGCTTTTGGAGAAGGTCACCAAGGGACCAGAGCTGGCCTGCCACAGGTGGAGCTGAGCACTGAGATGCGGGGTGACACTGCCATCAGAGTGGTGGGGTGTGGCTCTAGGAAGTGGTGTCCTGTGTTATACCTGTCCCCTGGCAAGGGCTTGGAGGAACAGATGGGGAATACTTGAGGGTCTGTACAGGGCTGACAACCAGCAGACGCAGTGACAGTGGCAGTCCTGGAGGGTGGCCTTCCCTGAGTCTCCGTCAGCACAGCAGGTCTGTTGAAAGCAATGCCAGCTACACCATCCCCTTCCCCTTTACCAGACTCTTAGCCCACTTGGCCTGGCTTAAGGGTAGGGGCACCGAACCGGACGCCACACCTATCTGTGATTTAGTCCAACCTGCTTTATCCACTGGCCCCATACCTGTGGCCAGGAACCTCCCTGTACCTCAGTGTCTCCATCTCAGTAATGTTAGGAGCCTCAAATGAATTACATGGTAAAGCTTCAAGTGACAGGATTTCTCTCTGTGTATCAGTGACAGCCCTGAGCTTAATTCCAGTTCCCGCTTTGGAAAAAGCATGTGGAACGTAACTAATACCTGACGAGTTTCTCGTCTTCTGGGGTTTTTTTGGTATTTCCGTGCCGCCTCCTATTTCTGTTTCCATCACTGCTCTGTTCTGGGTCTTCCTGTGATTAATCTCTTCTCGCTTCAGTCCATCCTGAACGTTCCTGCCAAGTGATTGCCTGTCTAAAACACACATTCAATCACGTCACTCTTTTTATTGAAAGAAGCAGAATCACTCACTGTGTTATTTCCTAGTGAGCACAGCCCTAACCCTGGCGCTACAGCCTGTATGTCTTATGTCATCCATACACTTTCCAGTCCCCCGCCCAGCACATCCTGCATTGTGACCCTTCCGTCTTGAGCTGCCGGCCTTCAATATGCCCCAAGCCTCTTTGATCAAACTATTGTACTCTAAATACCTGATCCCAAAACACATTGGTGCGTCCCCTTCCACCATCACAGGAGACGATGCTTCCTGTGCGGGGAGACCGAACCCATGGCTGTCTGCGCAGGAAGCCCTGACCCAGCTCCCCCGTCTGACTTTATCCGACTCCCCTCAGCTTGTCCCCACCTCTTTCATCCATCACGTTCTGCCTTGTATCACAGTTAGTAATGAACGTGTGTGTGTGTGTACCACCAGGTCAAAGCCTGGAGTGTGCCTCATTTGTCTAGAGGTCCTTCTAGGGCTGTGGGGTGTCTTGCACCCAGTGGGCACTCACCCAGTGTCTGCCTAATGGAATGGGTGCAGCGGTCATGTCTTCAGACAGGTCAAGTTCACCATTCAGCATGGGGGGGGGCCCCAAAGGGGCCTCCAAGACTTGGAGGAAAAGCATTTACTTCTTCTGTCATCTGACTACTGGAGAGATGGAAGGATATAAGACAGAAAGAGAAAAATTCTAAAAGGCTACAATTAGTAGTATTGAAACATGACCTTTGTCCAAGTAGGAAAACTTTTTTTTTTTTTCTGGAAAGAAAAGTGCTTTTTAAAAAAAAATAAAAAAAATAAAAAATGGGGCCATGTGGCCCTGAGGGATTAGAGCTGTGCTGTGTGTGTTTTATGCAGTAGCGCTGTGTCTGGCCATCAATTTACACTTCCTTTAAAATATTTTAGGATCCAGCTCAGTCTTCTGGTTTTCATCCTTCAGGGTCTGTGGTTGCAGTTGGAACACTGACCGGGAGGTAAGTCCTCATCGTATGGCGTGTGCCCTCAAAGTTCATGGAAAAGACACGTGTTGTCTATATGTCCCTGGGGAACGGGCTCAGTGCAGCCCTTGGCTGCATCTCTCAGCTTCTAATGGCTTACCAGGAATTAAGTCAAAACTCAAGGAAAACGTAAGACAGTGGTCCTTTGCATTTTGGGCCTGGGGAAATCAGGAAAGCTATGGACCCCTCTCCGGGAAACGTGCCCCGCCACACTCCACACACCTTTGCCTCCATTTCCAGAGGGTTTGTGGGGCCCCTCGAGTCCTCGTCTATAGTCTGTGGGAGGAGCCTCAACGTTGAGAAAGCATTTCAAAGCACTGAGAATTTAAACATGCTTTTTTTTGCTGCCCTTTCAAAATGTTAGAAACTGCCCAGACCCTGGCCTCTTGCTCTGATTCAGCTAACATCGTTGCCCAAGCACCTCCGATAAGCCCAGCGGCAGGTCTGGGCTTGGACCTCGCTTCTCCACTCGGCAGCCATGTGTCTGAGCCAGTTCCATAACCTCTCTGAGTTAGGCTCTTTCTGTAAATTGTGATCGTATGAGCTGCCTCGCCACATCACACTGATGCTTGGAGGGGACAATACACGGACAGCACCTGCTGGGGTGGCCTGGCATTGTTTTATAAGTTTCGATTGCACTTTTATGTTGTTTGTCCTCATATATACACTTATGATGACTTAATTCAAATATTTTTTGGTGATTTCCTCTCTAAAAAGCATACCACTTGGATTCTGTTGTTATGACTGTAGAGTGTGTATAAAGAAGAAGTAACCATTTATAAGTCACAGGTAGCAATATGGCGAGAGCTGGGCACCTTGTATCCAGCAGAATTCTTCATGAAAACGTTTGCATAGCCACAACATGCGTGTGCGTGCACGCGCGCGTGCGCGCGCGCACACACACACACACACCCCTACCTTTTCTTTTGGAGACAGCTGAAGCTTCACACTCAGCAGTGTGATGAATGGCTGTGATGATTGGCTGACAACCAGTTCTCGCCACCATCTCCATGCTGTCTGCGTGTGGTGGGATAGGATGGTGACAATGCCAGGATACTCAGCATCACAGACTGTTCTATGGGGGCAAGACAGAACACGTGACCTAATCCCTCCCCTCCGTTTATGCCTCCCATGTCTCTGTTCCCAGCCAGCGCCAGGCTTAGCCCTTGATGGGACAATTCAACAGGACTTTTCATGGCCTAGTCAGCTCCAGTCTCTCTGCTCCCTATGTTCAGACCTCTGTTAAGACTAAATAGCACCTTAAAGGTTAATGGATGTTGCAGGTGCAAGAAATCAAAGCTGAGAAGCCAAATCCAAATTTCAGGGGGGTCAGAAACTTGGGGATGAGTGGAGATGGTTAGGGCCTTGAATGGAAGGTGAAGATGGTGATACCCGCTGAGGAGACATACAGATGGAGTGTGTGTCGTCTGGGCTTGAAATTGCAGCAGCAGGAAGCCCATATTCCTTTCCATCCCTGAGAGCCCTGGAGTCCCAGTTACTGCCACCACCAGAGGACACACGGGTAGGAGAGTGCAGTCATTCCAGCATTTAACATTCACTTATTAGAATGTGTGTCCTTGTTAGGGGCTACGAAGCCCATCTGTGTCCGTTATAACATGGCCGATTGAACACACTGGGCCTGCAGGGTCGTTCTGGGCCCTTACCCGCATTTCGCAATTGAAGAAATGGAGTGCAGAGGGGTGACCAGTCCTCTACTCGCCCGTCTTCCCTTCTTTCTCATGTCCTTCACCGGGCTGATCACATGCCCGCATTCACGGGAGGGCAGGCACTTGGCCTACCTCGCCTTGCGCAGCACCCCTGGGAACATCACCACTCCAGAGGCTGTCCCAGCCCCGTCCTCCTGGACCCATCCTGCCCGGCCCCGGGCCAGGTCCCTGGGCAGGCTCCGTGCAGGTGGTCCCACGGCGGCTTCCTGTGGCCAGGCCAGGTGTTAGGTGCTGGTCCAGCCTCCCTCCCCAGGGCTTTCTGTCCTTTTACGTGTGAGCGACAGAACTCAAACACCGAGGAGCCTGTCACAGCCTCAGTACCTAAATCGTGTCAATTGGTAGCCAGTGTGCTGCTCCTTTCCTTAGGAAATGCTTGTGTGTAGGAAACTTTCTTTAAATAAAAGCTGGGAATGGTGTTCTCGTTAAGTAGCTACAGAGGACTAATTAAGACCTTAAATGAATAGTTTTTAATAGTCTTCGTGTTATTAGGAGAGCCTTACTTCGTCTCCCACTAAACAGCTTATTGTACTTTTCCTCATGTTTACAACAGGTGGTTTGTGTTTGACACAGAAACGAAAGACCTGGTCACCGTTCACACGGATGGAAACGAACAGCTCTCTGTAATGCGTTACTCACCAGGTTAGACCCCAAACCATCCGCCACTGTAAAACCAACATTTATGAAATCCTGCGTAGATGTCTTTAAAGAAAAAAAATTTCACAAACCTCCGCCGAGTGAAATTTAAACTATACGTGTACATAATTGTGACATTTTGGGGTTCTTGTCCCTTCTTTGGTCACTATGCTTGTGTGTTTTTTAACTTCTTATTATGGGAGATCTCAAACATAGACAAAATTAGACAGGATACCCTATGAATCCCCATGTATCCATCACCCAGCTGCAATTATCTGACTCTTAGCCAATCTTGTTCATCTGTAATCCTACCCACTGGCCCAGTCCCATGTTATTTTGAAGTAGTTCCCGGACACGTTATCCTTTCATCCGTTAATATCACTGCATGTCTCAAAAAGATGAGGACTCTTTTTTTTTAACAGCCTTATTGAGTATAATTTACATGTAATAATTGACCCGTTGTAATGTACAACTCACTGATTTCTTAGTAAATTCGAAGAGTTATGTAACTATCACCACGATCCAATTTTAGAACCTTCCTGACACCCCAAAAAGTTCCCTCCCTGCCCATGAGCGATTAGTCTACACTGCCAGCCCCAGCCCTAGGCATCCACTGAACTCCTGATCCATGCTATCCGTTGCTGTTTGAGACACTTCCTATCGATGGAATTGTACCACATGGAACCCGTTGCATCGGGCTTCTCTTTTACTTAAGATCATGCTTTTGAGATTAATTTGTGTCATTGTGCGTGTATCAGCAGCAGTCCATTCCTTTTTAATTACTGGGTAGTATTCCATTTTCGGGTAGGCCACATCTATTATTTTCCAGTTATCAGCTAACAGACACGTGGGTTGTTTCTGTGTTTTGGCCATTCTGAGTCACGCTGCCGTGGACATTCATCACATGTCCTTTTTGTAGACATTTGTTTGCATTGCTCTTGGGTAAATCCCTAGGAGTGGAATTGGTGGGTCATATGGTAAATTTATGTTTAACATCCTATGAAACGGCCCCCTGCTTTCCAAAGTGGCTGCACGCACCATTTACATTCCCACCAAGGTGTCAGGGTTCTAGTTTCTCCACACGCTCACCAACACGTGTTCCTGTCCGTCTTTTTTATGAGAGCCTTTTTTATTAGAGCATTTCTAATGAGGTGTAGCTTTAAGTTGCATTTCTGAGCATCTTTTCACATGCCTGTCAATCATTCCTAGATCTTCTTTGATGAACTATCTATCCAAATGTTTTGCCCTTTTTGTTTGTTTGTTTTTAAGAAATTTTATTGGGGAACAGTGTGTTTTTTTCCAGGACCCATCAGCTCCAAGTCAAGTAGTTGTTTCAATCTAGTTGTGGAGGGTGCAGCTCCTTGGCCCATGTGGGAATCGAACCGGCAACCTTGGTGTTATGAGCCTGTGCTCTAACCACCTGAGCTAACTGGCCACCCCCAAATTTTCCTTCCTTTTTTTTTTTTTTTCATTTTTTAAAGGAGGCCTCGCTCAAAGTGGCCTATGCAAGGATTAGACCAGCAACCTTGTTCAGAGCACATGCTCTAACCAACTGAGCCACCTGGCCTGCCCACTTTTTAATTGGTTGTTTGTCTTACCATTGAGTTATAATAACTCTTCCTATATTCTATATATGAATTCTTTATCTGATATATGATTTGCAAATATTTTCTCTCAGTGTATGACTTATCCTTTCATTTTCTTAATGGCGTCTTTGGAAGCACGCGCTTTAATTTTGATGAAGTCCAGTTTTATCAGGATTTTTTTCTTTTATGGATCATGCTTTTGGTGTCAGACTCAAGGTCATGAAGATTTTCTCCTATGCTTTCTTTTTAAAAGGTTATTGCTTCAGCCCTTCCATGTAGGTAGGTCTATGATCCATTTTGAATTCATTCTAGCATGTGGCGAGAGGTAAGAGTCTATTTATTCTGTATATAGATACCCAGTTGTCTCAGCACCATTTGTTTGTAAGACAATCCTTTCCCTATTGGATTATCTTGACACTTTCATCAAAAATCAATTGACAGTAAATGGAAAGGTTTATTTCAGGATTCTCAGTTCTGTCTCCTTCATCTATCTATTTATCCATGTACCAATACCACACAGTTTTGACTACTGTAACCTTGAGAGTAAGTTTTGAAATTGAATAGTATAATTACTCCAACTTTGTCATTCTTTTTCAAAATTGTTTTACCTATTTTTAGATCCTTATCATTTTTACATAAATTTTAGAATCAGTTTGTCAATTTCTAATTTTAAAAAACCTACCAGGATTTTAATAGGAATTAACGTTGAATTTATAGATCAATATGGAGATAATTGCTATCTTGACAATACTAAATCTTGCAGTCCTTGAACATAGAATGTCTCTTTATTTTCTTAGATCATCTTTCATTTTTCTCAGCTATGTTTTATAGTTTTCAGTGCACAAATCTTACACTTTCTTTGTTAAATTTTTTTCTAAGTAAGTTGCTTTTTATTCCATTGTGAATGAAATTGTTTGCCTAATTTTATTTTCAGAATATTGGTTGCTAGTATAGAGAAATAAAATTGATTTTTGCACATGGATCTTATATTCTGTAACCTTTCTAAACTCTTTTATTAGTTTTAGTAGGAGTGTGTGTGTGTGTGTGTGTGTGTGTGTGTGTGTGTGTGTGTGTGTGTAAAATCCTTGGGACTTTCTTCACACGGGCTCATGTCACCTGCAAATAAAGGCCGTTTTACTTCTTCCTTTTTAATCTGGATGCCTTTATTTTTTTCCTCATTGCATTAGCCAGAACCTCTAATATGATGATGAACAGAAGTGGCAAGAATGGGTCCTTTCCTTGCTCCCAATATTAGGTGGAAAAGCATTCAGTCACTTACCATTAAGTATGATGTTAGATGTTCTTTATCATGATGAGGAAGTTCCCTTCTATTTCTAATGTGTTTAAAATTTGTATCATGAATGTGTGTTAGAGTTTGTCAGTTAGAGTTTTTCTGTATCCATTGAGGTGATCATGTGGTTTTTGTCCTTTATCAATATGGTATACTACATTAATTTTCAGATGTTAAGCCAACTTTGCATTCCTGAAATAAATCTCACGTAGTAATGGTGTCTAATCCTTTTTATATATTGCTGGATTTTATTTGGGTTTTTTTGTTTGTTTGTTTCTTTGTTTGTTTGTTATTGGGGAATTGGGGAAGGGAACAGTGTTGGGGAATTGGGGGAGGGGAGCATTGTGTTTTTTCCAAACCCATCAGCTCCAAGTCAAGTTGTTGTCCTTCAGTCTTAGTTGTGGTGGGCACAAGCTCAGCTCCAAGTCCAGTTGCCGCTTTCAATCTAGTTGCAGGGGGGCGCAGGCCACCATCCCATGTGGGAGTCGAACCAGCAACCTTGTTGCTCAGAGCTCATGCTCTTAACCAACTGTGCCACCCAGCCGGCCCCTGTACCCTATTTGTTAATACTCTGTTAAGAATTTTTGCATCCATGTTCTAGAGGGATATTGCTCTATCGTTTTCTTTTCTTGTGATAGTTTTGGCTTAGTTATGAGACTACTATTGGCCTATAGAGAAAACTGGGAAATGTTCCTTCTCTGTTCATTTTCTGAAAGAGTTTGTAAAGGATTGGTATTATTTCTTTATTAAATAGTTGCTGGAATTCATGTGAATTCAGTGAACCATCTGGACTTGTTTGTGTGGGGGAAGGTTCTTCATTACTAATTCGATTTTTTTGCTTATTATACATCTATTCAGATTTTTTGTTTCTTTTTGAGTCAGTTTTGGTAATTTGTCCATTTCATCTAAGTTGTCTAATTTATTGGCATGAAATTGTTCATAATATCTGTTTGTAATCCTTTTAATTTTTCTGAGGTTGGTAATGAAGTCCCCTCTTTCATTCTTGATTCTGGTAACTTGTGTCTTCTCTCTTTTCTTGGTCAACCTAGTTAAATATTTTGTCAATTTTGTTATCTTTTCAAAGAACCAGGCGCGGTGAGGGGGGGTAGGGCAATGTGCACAGAGGTGAGGTGGGAAGGGCCTTCCAGACAGGGGAAGGGTGCAGAGGTGAGACGGGAAGGGCCTT